TGGACTGGCACAGTTGCAGCAGCAAACGGACTCAAGTGTAGCAACAGTTGTGAGGTTGGCACAGGATTGGGCAGCGTTTCATTCTGTTACATATAAGGTCGCTTAAGTCGGTACCAACTCAAGGGCACCTAACAACAATAACGAGTCAGAACCAACTTGACAGCACTTAACAACAACAATGATTTAATACAAATTTTATATTTAATTATTTCACATTTAATATGTCAGAATTCATGGTATTCTACAAATGACAATATGCTATTAAGAACATTAAGTGACATAAGCAAATATTCTCCATATGAGAATACAAAGTAGGTACATAGTGTATGTAATAAAGAACTCAACCATGGTCCTCTTTATTCCGTATGTAGGCATCGCCATAGAAACACATACACACATATATGCAAAGAAAAAAACGTGAAACACTTAAATCTTCATGCTGCTTTGGGCATTGAGGCTGCAAAAGATCTCTTTAAAAGATCTCTTTAAAAAAAAAAAAAAAAAAGATCTCTTTAAAGTCTTAAAAAGCAAAGATGTCATTTTGAAGTCTTTGCATTCTGGTGTTGGCAAAGAATAGTATATATATATATACACCATGGACTGTCAGAACAACAATCAAATCTGTCTTGGAAGAAGTACAGTCAGAGCACTCCTTAGAAGCTAGTATGGCAAAACGTCATTTCATGTACTTGAGACATATTATCAAGAGGTACCAGTCTCTGGTGAAGGACATCATGTTTGGTAAAGACGACGATCGAAGAAAAAGAGGAAGATCTTCAATAAGATGAACTGACAGTGGCTGAAACAATGGGCTCAAACACAGGAACAACTGTGAGGATGGTACAGGACTGGGCAGTGTTTTGATCTGTTGTATACACAGATAAGGTCGCTATTAATTAGAACTGATGCAGGGGTATCTAAAACAACAGTCCAAAATACAAATACTAGATTGTTGTTACATGCTGTCAAGTCAGTTCTGATTCATAGCAACCCTGTTTAGGGTTTCCAAGAGTGGCTGGTGAGTCTGAACCGCTGACCTTGCAGTTCAAGCCAAACTTGCGATTCAGTGCTTATCCTACAGCACCACACCAGGACTCCTAAATACTAGATAGTTGTTCTCAATCATGGTAACACATTAGAATCAGCTGGGAGTTATTTAAAAAAAAAAAAAACTCAATTAATAACCAGGCCCCAATGCCTGAGACTTTGGTACAGGTGGGTTGGGGAAAAGCCCAGGCATTGTATTTTAAGTTCCTCCAGGTGAAATTAAATGGAGTACTGGTATGGTGCTGTGGGTTTATCTGCTGGATTACAAAGTCATTTTGAACCACAAGGTTGGCAGCTCAAGTTCACCAGCCACTCCTTGGAAACCCTATGCAGAGTTGCTACATGTCGGAACCAATTTAATGGCACTTAACAACAACAACAGGTAATTTTATGGTGCCACAAGGAATGAGAACCACCGAGCAAGACAAGTAATGAGGATGCTTTCAGCTGATCCAAGCAAGAATGGAGAATTGCTGTTTTGTGCTACCAAGTCAACTCTGACTCACGGAAACCCTATAGGACAGAGGACACCGGCCTCAGTTTCCTAGGCTGTAATCTTTACAGGAAGAGTTCATCATGTATTTTCTTTCACTTAGTGGCTATTGGGTGCAAACCACACCAGCTAAGTGCTTAGCTATTGTGCCAACAGAGCTCCTTAATGGATAATTAGACAAGATGTTCTATGAATGCCCTCCCATCTCTATGATCTTATGACATTAAATAAAATACAAATAGCAATACATATAAAACCATTTGTGTGGGACAGGTAAATGGCTAAAACTATTGATTCCTTAATGTTTTAATTTTAGAACACTATCAATGAGTAAATGTAATTTAGGGTTACATTTTGTACATACAACTGTATCAGAGAGACTGCCTAATCTAATTAGAGATGCTTTTCACGCTGTATTCAATCATGTTTTTAAAGGACAACATGAAGGTTAAATTAGTTCTTTCTCTGAAACTGAATCGAATTTATTTGAGTCCATCTACAGACAACAAGACAAAATATGTAGGTGGCCCTGATGCAATACAAAACCCCATTATTAGCTCCTTAGTTAATCTACGTGAAACTGACTCAACTTATAGAAAAGCTAAAGGACACCAGTTAATTCAAGTTTCCACAATGCTACAAGTACCACAATGCCAACAACGGAACTGCCAAAACAAAATTCAACTTCAGGCAACTCAATATTGTAATCAGGTAAGAATGGAAAGAGGGTGAGTGGAGACTGTCAGCTTTTTGATGTATTACCAGTACTTTTCTGCCTTGCAAAGAGTATTCAACAAGTATTTAATAGATGAGAATTTGTTGACACCTGCCAGCAGCAACAATTATGAGGTTGGTCCAAGACCGGGTAGCATTTCGTTCTGTTGTGCATAAGGTTGCTGAGTTGGTACCGACTCGATGGCACCCAACAACAACAACAACAAAGCCAGGACAGCACCATCCACTGTACAGTGACAAGAGCCTGTCACCACCACATCCAAAAGGGCCACAATACGAAAAAGCAGGCTAGACCACAGTCCACATCGTGGGACCTGTGAAAAGAATTTGTGAATATAAGTGGGTTAGCTTCATGATGATGGGGAATTCACAGAACAAACGTGATCATTTTATCTCAGTTTCCAACGATTACAGATCTCAGAAGTGAAGGATGTGAACGTTCCAATCAAGATGACCTCTACAGTCTCCCTGCCCACTACTTCTACCTTTGCTCCCTATACTTGTATCATCCTCAGCGGCTTGTAGATCTCCCAAAAACGTGCTCCTCTGCCTTTTGTATACTATCTCTCTGCCTGAAATGTTCTGACTCAAACTCCCATTCTCTCACAAGTTCTGTTGTTGTTGTTGTTGTTGTTGTTGTTAAGTGCTGTAGAGTCAGTTATAGCAATGTTGTACAGGGATTCTGAGGAGCGGCTGGTGAATTTGAACCGCCGACCTTGTGGTTCAAACAGACCTTGCAGTCTAGTGCTTATTCTACAGCGCCACCCCAGGACTTTACTCACAAGTGAAAGGAAGCTACATGATACATGAGGTTGTTACTCTGACAGCTAATGGTATGTGTGTTCATGTACTCTTCAGTTTAAATGTTCCATTATTTTTAAATATAGTAAACACTGATACATATAACCCACATAAGTAAAAGCTCTTTGGATTGTCAGTCATTTTTAAGAGCGTAAAGGGGATTGGCGCTGTGGGTTAATGTGCTAGACTACAAAGTCAGTTTGAACTGCAAGGTTGGTGATTCAAGCTCACCAGTCACTCCTTGGAAACCCTCTAGAGGGTCGCTATGGGTTGGAACCAACTCGACGGCACTTAACTACAACAACAAAGGGATCCTGGTGTGGTGCTGCAGGATAAGAGCTGGACCACAAGGTTGGTTTGAACAGCAAGGTCAGCAGTTCAAACTCACTAGCCAGTCGCGCCTTGAAAACCTTAAACATGAGTCAGAACTGACTCCAAACGTACAAACAGCAACAACAAAGAGTTCCTGAGGTCAAAAAGTGTGAAACCTATTGTTATGTGAGATTTTCCTTTACAAGGATGTGAACTCCTAAGGATCTTAGTCAAAGTATCCTCAGCACCTTGGCTCAACCAATGTTTGCCGAATTAACTGAAGCATACTCTCTTGGGGATGGGA